TATATTATTTGTATTGTATTCTAATTTTTGCTATATAACTTTTGCACTGTCCACTTTCTGCTGTGTCAAAACAAATTTCCCACGTGTGGGACTAATAAAGCTTATCTTATCTTATCTTATCTTATCTTATCTTATAAGTTGGTCATAATGTCTAAACAAAAAAAGGAAGAATGTGGAGATTCCTATTTCATCAAGAAGTTCATGTTTGGGTGTGTAAGTACGTAATACGATAAATTGGCATTTGAAAAACACACTCGGTATGTAAAGAACAAAAACTTAAAAAAGTGGGAATTTTATGTGTTTTGTACTAAAGTTTGTGGTAGTTGAGATTTGGGCCTTAGAGCTACTAAAAAAGGACGCTGACAGAGTCTCTCAGAGCCACCAATGACCATTTTTAACATTCACTGTAACTATAATGAGTGATCTCTACGGCAAAAATAATCTGAGTGACCTTGCTGGCACAGAGCAGCATGATGTAATGACAAATATTTGTTCAGATTTTTAGCTGAGCTTATTATGCTTAATGTAGATGCTGCAGCCTATCAGTCTAAAGTAAATGTCAGCTATCTAAGCTCATGCTGAAATCTCTGACATTTGCTGGTGTAACTGCCTTGTTGATACAGACCGCTGACATGTAAAGTGGACGGTAATTTCAAGATTTAAGTAGACGAGGAAGTCTCCATGACTGAACAGTTATCCAGGTATGAAATGTTACATGTGCAATAGCTGCTACTCCGAAAAACAGCCGGCTCATCGGCTATCTGAGAGTCATCAGCTGAAATTACATGGATGTAATAAAACAGGATGAAAACAAAATGTGTCCGAGAGCCAAGGCGCACTATTTATTGATAACGTTATCGGTTCCGCCTGTTTCCACACATGCAGCTGCATGTTGTTTATGATCCGCATGACCTCAGTTTACTTTTCACCAAAGAGACGCTGCATATCTAAAGCCATAGGCTGTAATTTTAAATGCAAGATAAGGTTGTCAATTTTGTTTTTTCCTGTGATAAATCTGGAAATTTCCATCTTTATCCAGTTGAAGATTTTGTCAGTAAAATTATCAAAATGATGGTTAAAAGGATTTTATAGCGACTAAGAGTATTTAGGTCCTAAAAAGATGAGAATTCTTCAGACTCTTGTGAATGTTGCCAGTTTAATAATCACTTAAGAGCTAACTGCACTACTTGTGTAATAACAGTGGCAGCACTTCAGCTCATTAACTGACTGTGTGGTCACTGCAACTGAAAACTGCTACATGTTCTGGTTGTAAATGGACCTGTTCTTATATAGCGCTTCTGTGCTGTACATTCAACTTGTATATTCACCCAATAACTTGTTTCTACGCTGTTTCTAAGTGCTTCCTATCT